TGGGGAGGCGGCGGGGCCTGCCGCTGAGCAGAACTGCAGAGCATGGGGCTGGCATTGCGGAGCCTGCACCGGGGTGGTGGGGGCAGGGGCATTGGCAGCAGGGAGCTGGGCTGGGCAATGTGCAGGTGTGAGGGAGGGTGGGGGTGTGGGGACCCCCCACGTACCCTCCCCCCCCACCAATAATGCGCAGACAGCCCTGGTACGCAGTGGTGGCAGGAGCAGCAGGCAGGGGCCGTCAGGGCACTAGTACCTGGTGCAGGTGCCCATCGGGCCACGGCTCCTACCTCCATTGCACGTTGCAATGGTGAAGGTGAGATCAAGGTGCCCACGTGAACACACAGCCCAAACGTTTCCTATCGCGCCTTGCCTAGTCCAGGAGATTGGAAAAGTAAGGCTTCGTACCAGTGCCCCTCCCCAAATCTCCTCATCTTTAGATAAGGTCAGTGTGTTGCTGAGCTTTTTCCCCAGCCCAGGGGAAAACCTCCCATGTTACCCCTCGATGGACACAGTTAGGAGTGTTGTTGGGCTCTGACTCAGGCCCTCCCTGTAGTGTGCGAACTGGAGCTGACCGAAGATGACAGGACAGGCCCCGCTGCCCTGCCCAGCCAGCACTGGGAGGGCCCAGCTGGGCCCAGCAGTGTGCACCAGCCCCACACACTGCACGGCAGCTTAAGGAGGGGGAGCGTGCTTGTGGTGTCCCAGGGTCCTCCCAGGGCTACTTCTCAGCATGTCGGTGGTGCCCACCAGGACAAGGAGCATGGGTTGTGGTCACTAGGGCGGACCAGTTTAGGGAGTCTTGGTGTAACATCTCTGATCCTGGCTGCTGGAAGGTAGCAGAGCTCTCGAGCAGAGGGGTCTGGATGGCAGAGGGCACCCTCTGCCCCGCAGCAGGGAGTCTCCCACCCTCCGATCACCCTACATTGTTTCCTTGCTGGGGTCGGTTGTTCCTGCTCAGATGCATCATCTGTCCATGGTGTGAGGGCTTTGTAGCTGGTGTGCAGGATTATTGGTGGGGCAATTTATGCACATCGTGGTTTTAGTTGTGACGTGACCAGTTTTCACCCACTATCTGTTGGGGCACCTTGTTGAGGCCCCTCTTCAGCCCGGAATTCTTCTCCAGGTGCAGGGCCCGGCAGTAAGCATCAATTTCTGCCTCCTGTTCCCTGATGAATCACAGCCTGTGCCCTTCCTCTTGTAGCTCCTGCACCCGGGCCCCCAGGGTCTCCACCAGCTGCACATCCCACAAGTGCGAGTGCCCGTGCCTCTGATCCCAGCAGACGTGCCAGGTGTCCCCCACGGCCTGGAGTGCAGGGCTCCATCTGTGACCCTGGTCACGTGGCTGCCTGGGTGTTTGTGTAAGTAGGAGACCAGGCGGGTGTCAGTGCCTCCACGTGGGGCTCGCCAGCTGTTGCTGCTGCTGCTGCTGCGGTTTAACAGGCAGGCTCAAACCGCTGTCCGTAGGGGGATCCCCTAGCTACCTGG